ATCACTCAATGCAATACAAATTCTTGCACAAAGCAAGTACCCTGTATACATTTGTTAGCTGGAAAGCTCGAGTGTCCGTATCTTTGCAACCCTTTTGTTTTGTTTTGTTTTGTTTTAAGTGGAAAAAGGTCAGCGGGATTTCATCGAGGCCCAGACAGAAATTATGGCAACGAGATTGTCAATTGCTTGGACGTGGACCGTCCGGAGTTGAATGACAGCGAAGTTCAAAGTCCAGATTGGCATCCACCATTGGTAACCACGTTTTCCAGCTGGGGACAAGGGCCCAAATATCCGTATCTGGGCACAATTAGTCACTTGGAATCTGGGCACGCACTCTGGAATTGTCTCGCATCTGCTGGCCCAAGGCACAAATATATTTGCATGCGTTTATGGCTCTTTTATTCGAGGCTCGTAAAAATGTTTAATAAGCGCTTCACAAGTAATTCTGGCAAATGTTTCCATGGGCTCGAACACAGTCATAACAAACATATAGGCACGTAATTGAGCATGGCTTTTAAAAATGTTGATGGCGTAAGGCTGTATATTTTTTAATTGCATATTCCTCTGGTGGAACAACATGCACAACACACAAAAGATAACAACAACATGAAATTTAAGCAATCAAATTGTTTAGGAATTTTCCTGCCCGGGCAAAAATCAAAACACGAGCTACCAAAAACACAAACAACACACATTTTTTGAAAATGTAACCACAAACAAAATGTATTATTTAATTTAATAAATAATCAATTTTGATTTGATTTGAAACATTTTTCCAGGTATGAATGGGTACAGATTTGGGAAAATTGTGAATAATTTACGAACTCTGGTAAATTTGTTGGTACTTTTATTACTAAAACATTGCCCTCCCGAAATTGTGACCTTTGATTGACAACCGAATGATTGAAATGCTGTGGCGATGGATCATGAAAGAGGATAACAGGCTATTTTGTTCCCTGGAGAATTCAGTTCCTGACTGTTGGAACTATTTGTTTCATCTCTTTAAAAATTACTTCATACAACTCGGTTAGGAAGTAGGCCTTTAATAAACTGAAGAGGAATTGTGCCAACTCAAAGAAAAGTTATCAAACGAATTAAATAAACGAATCCGCATACTATGAATGAGGCATTGTAATTAATGAAATACTTTTGCTTGTCTACAAGTAACGCAATATGGTGGCGCACAAGAAAACAGAAATTCAAGTTCAACGTACGTATGCTAACAAGTCATTCAAAGAATAAACTTTCTTATTACAAGATACTTATTACACTTGGCATATTTTCCTCTCATCCCCGAAGACTGCAACTTGAGGCATTCCAGCAGAGGGGAATTTTGGCTTCCGTTCAGGCATGTGCCCTCGAAAATGCTTCCTTTACTTTGGTTTAAAGCCTTGGAGAGACAACAACAACAGCAGAAGCAAGCGGCACTTCAAACAACCAGATGTCCAAATAAAGTAGTTTAAAGCACCCAGCGGAGGATGGGAAAAAAGGAGGGGAAAATCCGAGAAAACCCGGACAAAAAGGAAAGGAAATCGAGAGACGGCATAAGCTCACGTCGAAGAGAAATAAAAAATATACTCGAATACTTTTCAAAATGAACAACGCCGAGCAAGAAAAGTGGGAAAAGCGAACGGAAAACCAAGAGGCTGTGCGACAATTTTCCAGGGTTTGTGGGCGACAGCCTCAAGTGGATGTGGATCCGGCCACAGTTGAAGCCACAGCCGCAGAAAGCTGGACGCCGCAGCCGAAAGCTAGCTGAAAATCAATTTGTTCGACATTTTTCCCAGACCGACACACATTGGCACAGTGGGCTGAAAACGATGAAACTTTTCCGGTTCGCAAAAGACGTAACTTGCCTAATACGATTTGCATTATTTGTACATATCTCAAGATGTTTTCTTTATTGGATTACCATTTCGGGGGCAAAGTTAATTTCTGCAATGCAAAATTTTGATTTGGGTCAATGTGGAACTCACTGTCAGTTATCGACTCAGCTTGCCTGGCCTCCCCTTTCGAATCTGTGCCAATTTGGGATCGGGATTTGGGTGCTGGCATTCGTGCCTTTCGTTTACTCATAAACTCTATTATTTATGCGGCACACTCTAGCAGCACATTAGTCGTAGGCACGTGTACAACGTGGACCTCGCCCAATATTGGGGAATGCTTGTTTGTTTTTTCCCGACTCTCCCTGTGTAATCAGCGAGGCATCCGAAGCTAATGATGGGATGCTGGGATGCGAGGCTCCTACAAAGTCCCCTCACCCACCTGCTGTTCAGTCATTTGCCTTCCGCCAAGAAAGCCGAGCAAGCCAAGCGATTTCACTTTTTAAACTGGCGTCCTTTATTGTGTCGAGTCGAGGTCTGGCATATACACACAGACATGCTTTACATACAACTCACAAGATTTTGGCAGCAGTGACAAACTTTTGCCAGTCGCCGGATAACATCTCCGCCGGGGCCCAAAAACCTTTCGCAAACATACATGTTCCGCAAAGAGCAGGATCCAAGTCGAATTCCATGACAACTTGGCGCAAAAGTGAAATAAATCACCGGAGAAACAGGAAGCGGGAGTTCCAAACTGGATGCCATAATTTTCCAAGGCAAATTATGCACTTTGCGGGGATTATACAACGTAAAGTTCTTCCGGTTGGGTCCCAGAAAAAGCTGAAAATTTTATACACACGAGTTGTTAAAGGCATGCGTGCTTGATAGTTAATATAAGTATTTATTCAATTTTAACCCAGCCATCGAAAGTTTTAAAATATAATTTCAAAGTGCGTGTCGGCATGGAAATACTGATGGTGGCGCCAGTGTGAGTATTTCAAAAGCATTTCTCGTGCCAATTTTGTAATGCCATTATGCGGGTATTAATTTGCCAGCTCAAAGAGGGCGAGCTTCTTTCTTTCTGTAAACACATGCGGTAAGCCTCTCAGGGTCGTAATGTATTAAAATTTATTTTGATTGTCAGCCGCAGCGCACTGCGTAAATTTAGTTGATAAATGTTCGAAAGTGTTCACCCAAATATTCGAGTGCTCTGATTTGCATAAATCTTTCATGATATGAACGATAATTTTTTTGTTTAAGGGTAAGCAAACAATAGATCGGCGGGAGAAGAAATTATTTAGTCATCAGTTTTCGCAGCTCGTTTGATGAGATCACGAAATGAACCTGAAGGAGCGGCTCACAACTCCTGACAGCTGCCACAGAGCGTCCTGGCATCGATATCCGCTGCTCACATAAGTGCCGGGAAAATAATACCCCAGGAGGCGGGTTTTTTTTGGGGGGGTTATGGCAGATAGCATCCCGTAGATTGGCTGACATTGTTGTCGGTTCATCACACGTGACTGGGTTGCCACTCAGTGCGTCATTTGTCATGTCGCACTCCTTTGTATCCTGCCAGCGGTATTTACTCGCATCTGCTCATCCTGCCAAATGGATTCCTCGAGCGACTCTGTAGTTTTTTGCTATGCCCTGGCTGCAAAATGAACTCCATTCGGCCTAATGACGGGTATAGCTCTCAGTGTGAAAACCACAGATGAAAGCATTCATCTCGTGCTTTTCTTTTCGGCACACTTAGGTTTCCCCATTTAAAGGCAGGTAAATGTACTTGTTTATTTTGTGGAAGCTTAATTAGGGCGGCCAAATGGAATGTGCCGTGAGCGTGCTTTAATGCCTTGTTATTTACCGAAAAAGGGTTTACGCACTTGAATTGCCTGCCTGGGCATGTGCGTAAATTAACTAATTGTGGTAAATAAAATAAATATGCTGGCCAAATAGCATTGCTGCTCCATTATAGAAAGATAAACATTTCTTACTAAATCTAGGCACGCCAGTCGCCACTATCGCCGAAGCAAAAACAGCTTGTTAGCACTCAGAGAAATGGCCGAAGGGTTTGGGAGTGAACTTTATGGTCGTGCAGGCAGGATAAGCCAACGTCGCGTATGAGTAATGTCTGCCGAGCATTGCCCTTGACGGGGACGCCAACAAGTTGCACGTCGTACGAGCGAGGGTCGCTCTATCAGGTGGCGTTGGTTTTATGAATGAACCCGCTGCTCGCAACATGTTTGAAGGCGACTCAAACTGGTTCGAACGAATGGCGCGACGATTTGACTTTGACCGCTTCGATTTTTCAAAATCAGTTGCCAGAACTCGACGTGCCGCATCGGTTGAAAAGCGGAAAAATTCAATTGCCAAGAATTGCTTGGGTGAAAACATTAAAGCCGAAACCAAAGAGATTGACGTTGCCAGAGTTCAGAGCAACTTAGTGATAAGATAAACAACAAGCAAACAAAAAGGGCAAATAAAGGCCAAAGTGTACCAAGTGAAATTTTAGCATTTAAGTAAATCCCGATCTAAGGGAATTTTTTGTGAAATCTCAATTTATAATCAGCTATTTAAAACCAAAAATCTACGTGTGCATTTATTTGGTGTAACATTTTAAATCGTTGTACTTGTCCTTGATAAGCAACAAATAAGTCTTTTAATGAAATAAGTTAAAACTCACAAGGCAAGTTTACAGTTCACTTAAGTAAACATTTATAAAAATATAATTTAATAACTAAACTAACTTAAGCTTAATAAAATGTTCAAAAATTAAATGCATTTTTTGTATATACATATATATATATTTTAAAAATTGAATATTTATCCTGATAAAGAAACATGCTTAAAAGTTAGTTTTATTTTTCAGGTATATATAATTTATTTTAAAATAAAAAAAAGTATTTACATTTTGTTTAAAAGTTTAACGTTGTAATGGAACAGAGTAAATTACGTTTCAATGAAGTGTGCATAATTTTTCAATCAGCTTGGTTAAATAAATTTCAATTAAATTTGGCATCTGATCAAACGTTGAAATTACTTTTTTTATGCGTGTGTGTTTGCGGACTTATCTATGTGGTTAACCCAGGGCAATAATCAAAATGGCATCAAGTGCTCAAGAGCTCATGAAAGCTATGTGATGTTAAGCAAGCAGTAAATTGTGCATACATTGGAGACACAGATATATTATATGTATAATAAAGTACTCGGATACTCCGCTAAACTTCCAGAGTTCTGACAGGGCTGCCAAAACATTAATGGCATGTTAATATTTAAGCTGGCAAGACCAAGACAAGTAGCCCGCGGAGTTCAGTTAAGTGTATTCCGTACTTCCCGTGTATTTGGTGAAGCGGCCCAACTGTGTAAACACCGCAGCTTCGGCATAGACAAAGCTCAAAGTGTCCAAATAAATGTGAAATGTGAATACAAACATGAACGACGACTCCAGAATGCCAGTATTAGCCAAGTTGAATGCAAATATCCCGACAATTCGAAGTAGTGTGCGTTTTCTTATCGTGAAAACTTTTGGGACACTGTACCCTTAAAGCTAATAGCTCTCGGAATTTTCCTTTTTAATCGACTGCGGATCGGGTGTGGGGGTTTGTCTGCCTGCCGTTTATTGGGCAGTTTATGAACTCGCCAAGTAATTAGAAAGTAGAGCCGTAAGTATAACAGAAAACTGCTTTAGGAATTACAACAATCGAAGTGAATGGGCAAAGTTTGCGTAAAAACAACTCGAAAAAAATGAACTGTAAAAGCGGCTCAGCTAAAATGCTTTCCATTCACAGAAACTTTTTTTCTTAAACTAAACTTTGGAAAATCAACCAAAAATAAAAATGTGAAACTGATACTACTTTTAGCATCACCATTAATTTTGATCTACAGAGAAGCTCAATGCCAGCAAGTTTTAAAAGCAACAAAAATATTTTATCAAGTTGCACAGTTGTTACGTATACGACACGTTGTTGAAAATATAAATATTCAGTTGCATTTCCATGCTGTTTTAATTGAAGGCTTTCATACATGCACAATCACTTTATTTATTTTCGGATTTTTGCACGCAAAAACAAGATGCAAATAATTCTATAAGAAAATATGTTTCTTTAATTGGGTTTTTTTTAAAGCATTTCAAGCAAGTATGTGGACAAAATATTCTGCACTTGTTCAAAAAAGATCTGATTGTGAATCAAAAGAAGCAATAGTCTAGACTTTTTGGACAGCAATTTTTTTCTGGAGCTGAGGCTTTTAATGCTGGAATGCAAATCAATCAAAATCGTTGCAAACAATTGGCTTAAAACTTTTCGCCTAAGTTCGCGCTGCTCATCTGTCGCCGCCATGGGGATTATAATCGGGATCCCAAGAACATGGCACAGATGTGCTTTTCGCTACTTTTTTGGGACCCCAGACGCTGGCCTCGGCTGCTGATCAATCAAATGCGCATTTGTGTATTAATCGCGTTGATTAAACGGCCTGCGAGGGTGACGAGCCAAATGGAATGGGAAATTTCACTTTAAGATGCGGGTCGGGGCAATCAAATACAAATTGCTTTAGTGTCACCGAGCCGCACAGGTCATGAGCTATTAATCTGGTTTAATCGAGTGTCTAGATTGCACATGGGTAATTAGCGATAAAATGCTGGACAACAACCCGATTCACATACGAGTCGGCCCAATTAATATTGTATAATTTTTAGCGATTTATTTCAATTGAACTGCCTATATTGGGCAGAAATATTTTGTTTTATTCGCGTATTCGATTGGAGAGTATGTGTTTTGCACACGCGTTCCGGTAAATTGGGTTTATTGCTTCCCCATTGGCGAGGGAACGCCAATAGCAAACGGCAAACCAAACGACCAATTTAATTTATGAACATAAATTAATTTGGAAAATGAAATTTTATGGAATTTTACTTTGAACCTACACTGCAGAACCAGCAGCATGGTCAAAGTCGAGTTCTAAGGCGAAGGCGATACTGGGAACATCGTTGTACAGTATCTATTAAATTTAAATTGAGCTCGCTGCAGCACCTAATCGCAAATACTCAAGGCAATTACACGCTTCCAGGTAATTGCAACTGCACAGGTCAGCGACGCCACCGATTATGAGCTTGTTACCGCTCAGGGTGGCGTCATTACGGTGCTGCAATATAAACTCAATCAGCTGGAATTGACCACTTTTGCCATCCAACAATCTAGTTCGTATCTTATCTGGAAACAAGTATTAGCCTCCCTTCGTTATTAAATTACACAGATTTATTTTTTCAAGATTTTGCATTTTTTTATAGCAATTTAAACTCGTATAATTGTACATTGCAGAGGTAACATTTGAATGGTAATGAGAAATTAATGTGGTTAATGCTTTTGTCGGCATTTTAATTTAAATGGCAAATCCTTACCGAGAAGTTTAACTCTGGTTTTGCATTTGCATTAGTAATGGATTTTTAAAAAGATTTTAAGCTTATTTATTTGTAACCGCTCTGCTTTCATTCTGCCTTGCTAAATTGTTTGCTGAATTGTACCTAGCCAATCAATATTCGACTTTGGTCGAGACTCTTCATATATTATTTTCAATGAAAACCATTAAGTCAACCAGACAGCTGAATAAAAAATTTTGAGATCACATGGTGTAAATTTTTTTTATCGAATAATAAATCTATGTTGGGAAGTAAGTTTTAATCTTATTTAAAATAAAATTCAACCAGGCTGTGAAGATTATTTTGCTGTTTAAACACGAATAAAATACCGTGCCTGGAAAATCATATTGGATATAATGCATATTAAATTTGATTTAAAGCCCTGCTGCCAGAATTTTTTCGAGTCCATGGAAACCAGAAGCTTATCAACGCAGGCAGCTTTAAGTATTACATTTCGTAGAATTTCCTGAAATCAATGATTGCCTGCCTCTATGATTTCAATTATGTTTTTCTCGTGAAATTGTTGAAGATTTATAATTAAAAAGCCATCTAATGTCTCTTAATATTACTCTACTTGCAGTTGGAACTAACTTAAGATATCATGTCGGTAGTATATTAATGGTAAAAGTAAAGATAAATAACCAAACCAAAATGTAAGAGAATGCAACACACATACATGGAATCACCCAACCCTAAACCACCGCCCAAACTCAGTGAATCAACCAATTAGGGAGAAATAGTAGCCAAAATGGAGGCCGAGTGGAGCTTGGATGACCCGTCCGCCTCCTTCGGTCGCCTGCCCTCCGTTCCCAGTGCTCCGATGGACTTGGAGGCGGATAACGAGGTGGCCAGCAACTGGTCCACATTGGCCAACTTTACTCGACTCGTGGCTGCCTCCGCTCCGGACATCGCCAACTTTACACTCAAAATGCTGGACTTGAGTGTGGGCGTGGGTGTGGGCGTGGGAACGGATGCGTCCAATTTGAGTGCCAGCACCACGCCCCTGCCCGCCTACGCGATCGCCAATAGCTCCTCACTGGCGCACACGAACAGCCTGCACGAATCGCCTCCAATGGCGGAACAGGTGCCCGAGCACGTGATGGACCACGCCCCCCAGTTGTCCCGTTCCGGACTGCTCAAGGTGTATGTCCTGGCGGTGATGGCACTGTTCTCCCTGCTGGGCAACCTGCTGACCATCTGGAACATCTACAAGACCCGCATTTCGAGGCGCAACTCCAGGCACACGTGGAGCGCCATCTACTCGCTGATGTTCCATCTCTCGATTGCCGACGTCCTGGTCACCTGGTTCTGCATCATCGGGGAGGCAGCCTGGTGCTACACGGTGCAGTGGCTGGCCAACGAGCTTACCTGCAAGCTGGTCAAGCTCTTCCAGATGTTCAGCCTTTATCTGAGCACCTATGTCCTGGTGCTGATCGGCGTGGATAGGTGGATAGCGGTCAAGTATCCCATGAAGTCGCTCAACATGGCCAAAAGGTGTTATCGACTGCTCGGCGGAACTTACATTCTGTCACTGGTGCTCAGCCTTCCACAGGTAAGTCCTAATATTTAAATGTTCTTAAATAAGACCATATTATAAATTCATACTTTAAAACCATTATTTGCCAGTCTTATAAAACTTTTTATATTTTATAAACAAATGCATTTTAATAATCTTTGCACCTTGTTTAAGAAATGTAAATTGTTTAATTCCTTAAGCCCATAAAAAGTATGCAAATAATTAAAATCTTTAAATAAAATGATAAAATGACTTAATATAATTGAAAATGCACGCCCTCAGCATTGTGGAACTTAAAACAAGACAATTTATTCTAGACAATGAAGGGCTCAACCTTTGGAATTTTAATATGTTTGATTTATGGAAATTCATTATTAAAAAAAAAAGATTAAAGCGCGTGCAGGTTATTCCCTTTCAAGAAAAAGCAGTTATAAGAAGGCTTATTCGCGTCGAAAGACTTTTAAGATAAGTGCGGCTATGGCACGCTTATGAAAATAATCTGGCCCACTTGCAGTCGCCTTCGGAGGGTGTTCCATTAACCCGAGGGTAAAGCTGCGGCTCATCACCCCTAAAAGCCACTCCAGTTTGCCCGCGCGCTGATGAAGTTGAAGTAATATGTTTACTTTACAATACGCATACGCCCCGTGGCAGGGCGCAAATAGTCTTGAGTAGGCGCCAGAATGTGTGCAGACATTAAAAATGATTGCCCTTCGCATAACAAGTGTGCACTAAATGTGGCTTTAGGCCGCTGCCACGCCCACATACGCACACACACGAGCCGTGGGCAGGCGGCCGGTCGGTCGGATGGGACAGCCAATCGAATTCCGGCCGCCCGACTTACAAAAGGTTTTTTTTTGGGAACCTACAAGAAAAGGTCCGGAACCTTGAATCCGGTTTCCGTACTGGCGGCAAGTGTCTGCCTGACGACAAACATTATTCATATTCCCGATTCATTGTGTGCAGATAGGCCGGCTCTGATATATTCCTTTTCCCTGCTAGCTGGCGGATAAGCCAGAATGGGACTGCATAAATGGGAATCTCTTGCTTTGTTCTACGATTCGGCTCCAGCTTTCCGGCACATTGATTGTATAATATATGCGATTGAATACTTGTCCGGGATTTATGGCCCCGGGTGAAGTGCTGCGTAGCCAGCTCGTTTATCAGATTAGCCGAAGTGCCGTGTTTCTGACTGTTGCTCCTCGAGGAGCAACTTCCAGGGCATTTAAGCTCAGGAGGTGTTGCCAAGGCAGGTAATTAGACAGAAAGCCACTTCAAAGTTTCCAAGGACGGGGCAGGAACTAATTTAGTTTGATTGAAAAGTGGCTGCTGAAAACTTTCCTCTGCTCCTTTGTGACCCGGTTCTTGAATATCAAGTGTTGACTGGCCATAAATTCGAGTGGACCTTTGGGTCACCAACTTATTCACCTTAGAGATCCCAAAATAGAAGAGTGCTTAGGCTTATAATTAGAGCGAGGGAAAGTTCTCCCTATATTCCCGACGCGAATTATGCTATTCACACATTTTCTCTTATTCGCCCCCGGCCTTGCGCTCAAATGTATGCTATATTTTAACGCTTTTAATTAAGGGAATTAACCACACTGACGCGATTCTGCGCGAGCCATGTTTTCTTTTATACGAATAATGTATTGCGTGAAGCAATAATTGCCAGCGTACTGCCAAATTCGAGGCGAGATTATATTGCCACGCTTTTCGCAATATGTGTTTTTGGGCTGGAGGGTGTGAAAAGCGTGTGCGTGCCTGCATGTCAAAGTGTCTGACTTGTTTAAATGCCACAAAAAATGTCGAGACTAATTACATTTAGATGTTTTCTCTCCCTCCTGCCGTCAACCGAAATATTTGGCAGTTTTTGAAGCGGGTTGGCGCTCTGTCAAACAATAATAAAAAGGATATAATGTATTGGCTTGCATTTTAAAAAAGGGTCTAACTTTGTTTAGCCGTCAGTTTAGTCGTAAATATTTTATTCGGCTCGTTGTTACGAGCATAAAAAGCTATTATGATATTGCAGAATCCATTTTTAGGCAGTCGCCCATATTGTTACATAATTAAAAAGCCACTGACACACAATTAACCGAAACTTGGCAATCATTATGCCATTTTTATAGACCACTTTTCGCCCTTAAGATGACCGTGGCTCGAAAACTTTCTTCATTTCGTTTTATTGAACATGCGACATAAAATTTATGCGGCTCACAGACGTGACAGCCCAAGCGCAGTGGCCAAAACATTCTGGCCAAAAATAAGGGAATCATCTCAAACAATTTTCCGGACAACTTTTCCGATGTCACACGTCCATGCACCAACCAGCACATGTTTGTAAGCAGCCATGAGCCACATCGAATCGAATATGAGACGCACCGCTGAGCTCTTTGGTTTCAAATAAAAAAACCGAAATGAAATTTCACTTCGACTGCCAATAAACAACAAATGTTTTCAACAGCGGCATTTATTTGGCTCCTTTTTCCACTTCGCAGCAGAATAAGGCAACACACACGCATACACACCCCAAAATTGCCGAACAATAATACTCAATGTGAAGTCAAGTCAGCACAAAGAAAACATGGCGACATACTAGAGTCAGACTAAAAGTTATTTACAGGGCTCCAGGACAGTATTATTGTGAATTTAATTGCAATAACAACGCCCAACATTAACATCCCTTCAAGGGAACAATTTTCAATTTCCTAGAATCAATTACAATTTGATGTGGAATTATCCCAACAGTCCAAAAACCTTTGTTAATTTTGCATTTAAATTAAACTTAAAGATTATCTAAGGGCTGTGTTTATTTAAAAGGAGTCCTCAAGGTTAGCTTAACCAAAGAAACCAAAATGGTTTTAACTGCTTTCAAAATTGCGGACACATTTTCCGTGTAACACTGTGGATTTCTGCAACTGAAAATTTAATGAACCTAAGCCACTCACACAATCTTCTGAATAAAAGAAAATCAAGTAATGTAATTTGGTCTGAAATACTTAAGTTCTTTTGTTTTGCTACCACTTACATTTCACTTCCAGGAGGCGCTTTTATAAAGTTTTTTGGTGCAACTTGCAACTTTTGAACCAATTTTTGTGTGAAATGGTTTTTCTCTTGAACGCTCTTTAAACTTCCTAGGACTTTTTAATGAAAATCAAATATAGAAATACCAACTATGTAAATACATGAATAAAAAGTTTGTTGTAAAAGTAAGTTAGTAATACCGCATTCAGTTTAAAAAAAAACATTGTTTAAAGGGAGCGAATAGGGAGCCACAATTATCGGTTCTTACAGCTGGTTTTTTCTGGGCGGCCCTGACCTAAATCAATCTATATCCCCTGGCCGTTTCGGCAAAAGGAAACGGCTTGGAAGTTATAAATGTGAAAAATTAATAAAAATCAACCATTATACGATCATCCGCTTGTCGCTAGTCCCCGGGGTTTTATGTAGTTTCACTGCGCTGCTTAGTTGTGCGTGGCAAGTTCCTCCATTCGGGTCAGCTGTTGACACAGCGGCTGACAAGAAACCCATAAAAAGTGCAAATAAAAATACTTTTAGCGCATTAGTTATGCGCCGCCACATCCAATGGTAGCTAAAAACAGGTCACAAATTCGCTATATTCGCTTTATCAGCGCCAGCCAGACCTGAAATTTTCCGAGAAGCTTTTCCTCGAACATAGTCTTCCTAGAAATGTTGAAACTAATGTACTTCAGGCGAATTGATTGCACAGGAAGCTCTAACAATGGAGTATTTAACTGCAAACTGAATGGAGTTCCCAAAAATGTTCCCTCAATTACGGCCATATTCAGACTGCGCGGAATTTAACCAAAAGGGCTTTTACTCATAACCGAGGTTCTTTTCCCGCAAAATGGGAAGCGGATCAAATGTTCTATTTGCGTCAGCAATTTGCTACTACTTTTAATGTTTTTTTCATAAATTCATGTCATTATATAAAATTTACTTCAAAATCATTCAAAAATATTTAATACTATGTAGGATACCTATACGCTTACGACTATTCATCTAATTTTTAGAACCTATCAAATTGGTATCTGCGTGCATTTATTTTGTTTTATAATTTGAACGTCTTACTCGTGGAAAGTGTTGCTCTTAATATTTAAAAAAAAAATACTTTTTGTACAAATAAATTGTCTTAAATATATATATATTTCTTAGTGGCACCATTGAATAAATCCATTTAAATGTACAAACGAATTTACATTAATCAAGTGACCTTTAATTCCTTCATCCTTTTTTCGCGTTTCCTTTTAATGTCGACGGTTGTGGCTGAAGTTCTTCATTTTCCACGTGGCTCGGGGTCCTTTTGTGGAGGAGTTCTACCAGTGCGTCACCCACGGATTCTACACAGCCGACTGGCAGGAGCAGATGTACGCCACTTTCACGCTTGTTTTTACCTTCCTGCTGCCGCTGTGCATCCTGTTCGGCACCTACATGTCAACCTTCCGCACCATTTCAAGTTAGTTCATTTTTTTTGTTTTTAGAAACACAGAAAACACTTTTTCTGCCATCCATAGGCAGTGAAAAAATGTTCCAGGGATCGAAGCTGGCCAACTATTCGACGGCAAAGCTGCCCACACAAACGAATCGCCAGCGGCTGATACACAAGGCCAAAATGAAGTCGCTCCGGATTTCAGTGGTGATCATCATAGCCTTCCTCATCTGCTGGACACCCTACTACGTCATGATGATTATGTTCATGTTTCTCAATCCAGACAAAAGGGTGAGTTTTAAAGTAGATTCCTATTACCAACGAAATTTCCGGTGGGCTGAATGACAAGCAGATAGGATTCCTGGTATCGCCCAAATGCGAGGGCACATCAATCAGCAGTCGATTTGTCAGTTTATTGCGATAGGCTGTGGGCGGGGAATCCTTTGTTGTTCTGCCCAATATTTTCAGCTCGGGCCTGGGGCTGTAAAACACGAGAACCCAGTCGCAGATGGCAAATCCGTTCAGGGCCACAATCTTTTCCACGCTTTTCAAACGGCCCGACGCACATAAAAATGATTTCTTATGCTCAATTTTTAATTAATCGTAACGGCACCCGACCGGTCGGTCGCAATTTTTCCTTAACGGCGCCACCGGACACGGCGTCCCAACTTTGATGACTTGCCCGAGATTGCCCGTAAAAGCTGGCCGAGGTAGGAGATTAAGGCTGGAATGGCAAAAGAAAAACACAAGCTCGGCTGGCCGCAATCTAAGCATCCTGTAAAGTTACGGGAAATGATTGGGCAGGAAAAAATGTATTGGGCAAGAGTATCGAATTTATCAAATAGATGAGTAAATGTTCCAATCGTATTGATTGAATCATTAATTTATTTCATGATTAATTAACATTTAATTTTTATTGTGTTTAAAAAATATTAAAACATTTTGCTTTAATATTTATGAGGACAGCTTATTTTTATAAGAAAACTATAATTTCTATTAATATTTTACTTATATTAGCATTTAAAATTAGTAAATTAGTGAAAATATTTATAAGTAATTTGTTTAGAAAAAAAATGTTAAATGCAAAATCTTTTAAGGATTTTATTTAGATCTTAGAAACGAATTCAAAAATGCAAATGACAAGTGAAAGTGTTGCCTATTAAAAATATTTATGAGTAATTTATTTAGATTTTAAAAACAAATTCAAAAATGCAAATCAAAGGCAATAATGTTGTTTATCTAAGGTTACATTTTTAAAATTTTTTGTATCTAGGAGTCATTGTTAAAATTCTACAGTTGATAAAAGTTTATAGTCCATTCTGCCCAATTTAAACAGAAATGAGTGCAAATCCAAGAAAAACTTTTTGAAATGAATTTTTCACAGAAATGGTCTCTCAATTAGTCGCGCTTACACAGTCCATTTTGGAAGAGTGGTTAAAACTACATTGAAGCACCTTTGAGCACAGGGTACGCAGGGGCAAAAAGGACCCAGTCCGACCGCAAAACGCCCACAATCTGCCCACTCAAACATAAAAATGGTCTGAATGAAAGAATTAATTTCAATTTTACGCAATGCTTGCAGCTGGGCGACGATCTGCAGGATGCCATCTTCTTCTTCGGCATGTCCAACAGCCTGGTAAATCCGCTCATCTACGGAGCCTTCCACTTGTGTCCCGGCAAAGGAGGCAAGTCGAGTGGCGGCGGCGGCAACAACAACGCCTACAGCCTGAACAGGTGAGTGGACAAGCTTGTCAAAATGAAAAAGAACATGAGCAACAAAATTACTCCTGCAATTTGAAACTTTTTCGTATCAAAATAGTTACATTTCACAAAAAGTGTTTATTTTCATGATAGTCAAACAAGATTCGCATGCTTAAATGGGCTGTTTTTTGTGGGGTAAAAATGAATAATTTAACTTTTTCACGGGCAGTGCAAGCTGTGATAAATGTTTTTAATAATATATTCATTGGGTATCTAAAATAAGTAATAACTTTTTTGTACTTTTATTGAACGGTATATTTTTAAAAATTGTATTCATTGAGTATGTATAATAACTATATAAGAGGATTAGATGTATTTTTAAGAGCTGTTACTATCACAGAAGGGACAACTTATTTTCAGCTCATTGTGCAATTTTACAATTCTAATTATTGCAAATCTCAAATCGACTCAATAATTTTTCTAAGGATAAAAAATATGATTGTTTTTATTCAAATTATATATTTTCTTCATAAGTTCACGGTCTAATGATTTATGATTTCATGCATCACCAGAGATTTCTGACTTATGTTATTTTTCCACTCCACTATGAGTTTACACGCAATATACTCTGACTTATATGATTTTTTCCACACTACCATGATTATTTTGATACCGCAAAAAGTACATAAAAAAGATTGGCAATAAACTGATAAATTCTTTCCGTCTGGCTTTCATCACCGTACCTCATCGTCCATTCCCCCACCCAATCCGCATCCTTAGGGGCGACTCGCAGCGCACTCCATCCATGCTAACGGCGGTGACGCAGGTGGATGGCACAGGTGGTAGTTCCCGCCAGATGAGGGCCTTCCGCCAGCAGAGCTACTACCGCAGTTCGAGCAACGGCACTGCTGGATCCGGCGGCGGTGCTCCGTTCAAGGAGCAAGTGGGTCTGCTGCATGTGGGTTCTGGCACGGGTACTTCTGGCAATGTGGGCTCCGTGTCCAGCAATGCCACGCCGCAGCTGCTGAGGAAGGGCTCGGCACTCCTGGCCCGACATCCCAGTTGCGTGCGGGAGCAGGAGCACCAGCAACGACTCCTGCTGCAGGACAAGCCCTCCACTCTGATCCTCAACTACGATAGCCAGCGCGGAGGCGTGGGAGTGGGCGTGGCCAGTGGGCTGTTGGACAACAACGAGCGGGTGTCGAGCGTGTGAGAGCAGCTGGCGATGGCGGCGGATGCAGCGGATGCAGCGGATGCGAATGCAAATGCAGATTTAAGGACGGAGGACGCCTGTTCCTGCTGCCATTGCCTGAGCAGGGAGCTGGTGCGACGGCAGCTAGAACTCCAAGAGCTTCCAGTGCAGTGAGGCGACCGCCAGAGGATTTGATCCCCAGTGGCCTCCCAGTGGGGAGTGGATTCCGGGTGAGAATCGAGGAAGGAGAGTGTGAAGGCTTCGATGATCAGATCACCGGGGCGCGCAACTTGTGCTTAGTAAATGCTAATCGAGAGTTAAGTCTTTAAACACAATGGGTGTGCTTAGGAGTAGCGTAGGATTAAAGCTTGTCCGTATGGAAAGGTTGCCCAACAATGGGAGAAACTCAGGTTACAAAACCTCTGCCGAATTTTCAGTTAAATTTCTCAGTTCTCAAGCAAATGCTCCAAAAGGTTTTTTTATTAAAAGTAATAACTCCAAATATTTTGCATTTTTTATATATCATAACTATGAAATATTTGAAGCAAAATCCGAATTATATAATATGAAAATGTACCTATTCATAAGTCTATAAAAAACTATCTTGTTTGTTTGCTAATTTATCTAATAATTAACCAAATCACTATTGAGCCCACAAATCAGGTTGTGAAAATAGGTTTAAAATCTAAAAAAAATGGTTCGCATTTCGCAGCTAGTTTGTTTCAGTGAAAGCTAATAAAGTACAATAATTACAATTACTTAATCTATGTGCAATCAATCTGCAATGATAATTTAATTGGTTAATTAAAATATATGACTTCAAATGTGTTTCTCCCATTAGCAGGGCAACATTGTAACGTTAATTAAAAACACGGATGTCCGTTTTTCCTTTTGTTTTCCCTTTTACGTTTTTCAAAAAGCAATTGTCAAATTGTGTAAAAAAATTAAAAGCCAAAAACAGGGTAAAAATAAACATTGTAAATATACTGAAATATTTTTCAAACAAATTGTGGCTACCACATTTTTAAAATTATATTTGGAATAATGTTATAACTGATGTAAAAAAAGATTGGAATAAAAATGAGTTCTTGTTCAAAAATGTAACAGTAAGACCTGTAATTTTAAGATGACCTATTCTTTGATTTAATTTAAGAAACCTATCATTATATTGTCTAAAATCCAAAGTCATGCTCATACTTTATAATTTTCAATTAGTTTTGGTTTATTTTCGTTTCAAAGCCCCAAGGTCGCTTCACTTAGAATCGTATTTTTCCATTGTAAATGGCACTCTCCCCAAAGGAATCCGCAGCTTACGACCAACTGGAAATATCAACTTAAGCCGGAGTTCCTTTAAACGTATTACACCAAACACCGCAAATCAATTTGGCCAAGAAGTCCCCCGAGACAAACGGATATGATATGCTTCTGACGAGTCCGGAGGAGGATATACAGGTGCACACATGCATGTGTCATTGAAGGATCCACTGCATTATGGGAACGGTTAAATTTCCACAATTCCGCATGCTAACGCCCATCATCTATCCCATCATCCCGTTTGCATATTCATGTGCTCGTACTCCGCAATTTTGGTGCGTACTTATGTATAAATAATCTGTGTCAAATTTGTATAGTTTATTTTTTAATAAAACCCGAATGATCCTTGCGAAACTTTACGAGCAAACTTTTACGCACCACGCGCACACAGGCCAACACGTTGATGAACTAGCTGGGCTTGGCTTGGCTTGGGCCTGGTCCCATAAATCCACATCCAGCGGGGCTCACGTCCATCCGGAGCTCGGGGTATATTACAAAATTTTATGGGCGGCGCAGGCGGAGGTCGCCCATCGCGATAGGTCATACCCGGGGACACTTGCCTTACGGGTGGGGTGGGGGGTGGTTGAGACCCCCAAAAATAAAAATAAAAATCACCCGCCCCTCCAAGAAAAAGTTTTAGGCCCAAATGCAAAACAATTTTTGCGAGCCGGCAAACAATGCGCCCGAAAATGCGCCGGGAAGGCTGAACGCTGAACTTAGAAGCTGCGCCGGAAACAGGAACCCAATTACCACAAATAATGAAAGATGGACTCTGCTGGGGAGTCTGGATGGACCCCCCCTTTAATTATGCACAGGCAGACGGGCTCCGAGTTGCCACACTGAGCGAAAAATAGACCAAGTCGTAACCAAGTCTGGTTACAAAGATTTTCTGAGAATTTCAAACAAAATTGCAATTAGTAAGGTTTTTCAAGGTTGTTGTATTTTCTTGCATTTTCTTTTGTTCAGTGCTGTTTTGATTGAAAACTTTTTAATAAAGACTAGAAAGTTTGATTTAATTTTTTGCGACCTATTGTGCAAGGGTATTATTTTAAACAGTTTTTGCTTTCATATTTTGATGCTTAAAAGGAATAAGTTTAAGTCAAACTTTTCTAAATAGAAGGCTAGAGTTCAAGTTGATATACATTTAAAAGATGCTTTAAATATAATTGATGTACTTAAAAAAAACTAATTTTTAATGTAGATAAATGCAAACATTTTTGTAAGACTTTTCCGATTCCCAGTTATTTTTATAAATGATGCAGTAAAACTGAATAATATAAAAAATAATAAAAGCTCATGTTTTTTTATAACCATTAAATTAAGAAACAAAACCAACTAACGAGAGTACACCAGAACATAAGATTTTATGATGAGAAATTATTTGAAAGAGGTAAGTATTTTGATATTTAAAACCTTGAAGTTGTGAGCTATAAATATTTTTTCTGCCTGTACCCCTTGAACTTTTGATTGCTTGATTTTCCGTACGGTTCCGCTGCCCAACTGGCAAAGTTTAGAGCGCGAGTCCTGACCATTCCGAAATGTAAATGCCGGGCCAAAGTGTGCCACGAATGCGTATTTTATTTTAAGTACGCATTCCATCCAACAAAGCGACTCAATGGCGGACGGAGAGGCACTTAACGAGCGGGTCGAGGTCCACAAATTAAAAGCATTCCGCCGGGCGACTCCTCCGTTTTATTGGGGATAAAAGTTTGAATTCGAGGGCCGGGCAATAAGAGCAATCGTAAAACGGGCTACAAGTATATACCATTCTGAAGTCCGAATGGAGTACACTAGTATATATATATATATATATCTAGTGATGTGTAGACAAGACATCAGAAGACATCGTCGTTACAGCAATTATATAAATTTATGGACCATTATCAACATGACAAGAAACTTGGCCTACATATCCGCACTACACATGCTCCATTCAAGCGTAGAGCGATAAAAACAGAGACATAAAGCAGGAGGCTCACCCCCCGGAAAGCCCAGTACAAATACAGACTGACTCATCATCGGGAACTGATGGACCGTAAATAAAGTAGAGGGGATTCTTACGGGGATTCCTCTTATTGGTTTTGCTTTAACATAATTTCACTTAGTTGTAGGGCAGATATTAGGGAACTATCCTGGGCAGGTCATGCAGATCCCGGGCATCCTATCTCGTGCTCACAACAGCCTCTTTTCGTGCCGCATCCTGGAGTAGCTGGGTGTCCACCTCGTCGCCAGGAAGTTGCACGTAGCGCACCACGGAGCCCCGGATAAAACAGTTCTTGACGCTCAGCATATGGGGGTATTTATCTGGATCCGTAACACTGATGTCCGTCAGCTTGATGTTCAGATACTGGTCCACGGAATGCAGAGTGCCACATATGCTTTGTTTAACAAATAAAAGTATGACTTTAGTTTTCCATTTTACCGGCAATGTGGTAAACAATCCGAGCTCACCTGAGGTCGTTCTTCAGTTCCACGACAACTTCTTTGCCCACCAGCGACTTGAAAAACGAGTAGAAGAGCTGGGGATTTCACAAAACATCTAGTATAATAGTTAAATCTCTTAGAAACTGACATTTCTTACCATTGTTATTGTTTATTGCAATTTTTGCAGAACGCGTTGTTTTTGGTGTTCTTTTTAACGTCTGGCAACGTTACGTGAGTGAGTCAATAAATATCGATAATATAAGTATCGGCAAAGGAAGTCTTGCCACGCTCAATAAATTTCCTTACGTACGGCAACGCTGCGATGCCATTTGGGAAGTTTCACAGCAGTAAGCTTTTGACTGCCTGCAAATGGGCGCTTGAAATATTCGTTTATAAAATTTAAATTTAGATGCAATTTAAACTGTGCTAAACTTACTTTTGCGTTAATAAAACTAAATTAAAAATAAAAGCAACGCCTTTTTAATAAGAACAAGAATGGGGGCAAACCTTGACAACCGAAGTTTCATACCCTTGCAGCTTATGCAATAATTGAATATTTTCTAAAACAGCTTTTATTCGATTTGTATGCAAATTTGTTTAAAAACTGTGAAACTATGACGATTTTTAATTTTAATGATGTAATCCCTTTTTAGTTTTAATTCTATAACTTTTCTCACAGACATTCCATTCTGAAGGGGTATATCTTTGAAGTCTTGTAGCTTTATTTTCTAAAAATCTGCATTTAAAAATTGGTTTCTAAAATCGGATCGATTTTTTTGTAATTTTAATGATGTAACACCTTTCTAAATTTCTGAAAAATGACTTGTCAGAAAAGTGACAAAAAAGCTGCAGTTATAATTCTATAACTTTTCTCACAGACATTCCTTTCTGAAGTGGTATATCGTTAAAGTCTTGTAGCTTTACTCTCTAAAAATCTGCATAAAAAATTGGTTTGTAAAACCGGGTCGATTTTTTTGTAATATTAATGATGTAACCCCTTACTAAATTTCTGAAAAATTACATTTCCGAAAAGTGGCCAAAATGCTGCAGTTTTAATTCTGTAACTTTTCTTACAGACATCCCATGCTAAAGTATATGGTATATAGTATATGGTATATCTTTTAAGGCTTGTGGCTTTATTCTCTAAAAATCTGCATTTAAAAATAAGTTTATAAAGCAGGGACGATATTTTTTGTAATTTTTATGATTTAACCCCTTTCTAAATTTCTGAAAAATTACTTTGCAGTAAAATGGCAAAAAAGCTGCAGTTTTAATTCTAAAACTTTTCTCACAGACATTCCATTCTGAAGTGGTATATCTTTCAAGTCATGTAGCTTTATTCTCTAAAAATCTGCGTTTAAAAATTGGTTTGTAAAATCGGGTCGATTTTTTGTCATTTTCATATGATATAACCCCTTTCTAAATTTCTGAAAAATTATATTTCCGAAAAGTGGCCATAAAACTGCAGTGGTATTTCTGAAAAATGACTTTGCCGAAAAGTGGCCATAAAGCTGCAGTTATAATTTTATAACTTTTCTTACAGACATCATATTCTTAAGTGTAACTCTTTAGTCTTGCGGCTTAAGTCTCTCAAAAGCTGCGTTTAAATTTTGGATAGTTATTTCAGGTCCATTTTTTGTAATTTTTATAAGGTTGACGATTTCTAAATTAGTTTTTAAGTAAGCGAGCCAAAGACATTTGCAAGAATTCGGTTAAGATGTTTATTTTAGGGGAACAGATTAAATTGCACTTGCTAATACAATTATTGACTTTTAAATTACATTTAATAACAATTTTTCGGGGGGTTTAAAACTATTTACAAACATAGGGGGCACATTGACCGTTTTAGCATTGCGGGTGTTTCACATTTTTTGCCTCTAGTGCTTAGACTAACAACAAAATATGCTGCCCGCCCTGTTTCGCCGCGTTCAAATCGCCAAGAATCTTAAAATTTCAATTAGCTTAAAAAAATCACATTTCATGTATCTTGTATCTGGTTCTACAACTCCAACTTAATGCCGCCGTCTCGAGTGGGTTTGCCAACTACGCGCTACGTGTAAAGTAACAGCAAGGACGCGGTGTCCTCTTGCGATCGGTGCCTGCCACTCTAACGCTAATAAATTCGTCACTATCCCGTCGATCGCCGCATTGCTCGCCTAATGTTCGGAGCTGAAATACGAGTTCTGCATGAGATACAGCTTGTCGATGGGGTTTATCAGGCTGTTGTTCAGGTTGGCCAGCATGTCGTGAGGATTCGAGTGGGTGTGCGAGTGGGAGTGCTGGTTGCCCGAGGAGCTGGTCGACTGCAGCTCCAGGTTGTTCAGCGACAGCGAGTCCGCGTCGTCGTCCAATTGGTCGAAGTTGCTCCCGTCCAGCGAGAGATCCGAGCTGCAGAAGCTGTCGTTTGAGTTGGCCGGATAGTCTGTAAAATCATAATTAATTAGTAATTATGTACCTTGGAATTACATAAAAACTTGTCTTATTCGAACCTCAATTTACCACTTTTTCCTTTATTTTTTAGAAAATGTTTTATTTTTGTTTTAAATATTTAATGGAATTTACAGAGTTGTTTTATACAATTAAAAAAAAACTCTGAGCTATGTGTGATTATTATCTCCTAATTTTATTCTTCTAAAGTTTATAAATATTTTGTTTTAATTTTGTCCAATTTAATATTTCGTTGAATTTTTTTTTTGGTTTTTGCTTGGTTTGTTTTTTTTTCGATTTATTTCTGCTTGATAAATGTTTCCAAATCTTGTTCTTCTTGAACTATTATTGGTTTTTCTAGTTTATTTTAATTTGAGTGTTCTTTAATACTAACATTAATTTGGTGGCTTTTTTCGAATTCTTTCATTTGCTTTTTATAAACTTATTAATTTTCGAAATGAGAAAATATAAAAAAATATTAAAATATTAAATTAAGAGGAATCTAATTTTCAACAATTAACTAGCTCCATTTAAAGTGGTCAAGTTCAACATAGAAAAGTTAAAAAACAGCTTTTGCTTACCATCCGGTGAGAAGGGCAAATTGGGATTCAGTGGCTGGCTGGCGAAAGTGTTGTCCAATCCGCCCAGATAGCCCGAGCTGTCTCCTCCCAGTTCCTGCTTGACGCACTTCTCGTCCTTCTCGTTGGTGTCCTTCTCATCGGTGGCACTCGAGTTGCCCGTGCCGCGCCCACTGCCCGAGCCTCCGCCGGAGCCGCCGTTCTGCTTGGCCTTGCGCTGGATCTTCTTCATCTTGGCGCGCTGATTCTGGAACCACACCTGCACAACGCGCACCGAAAGCCCGGTGTCCTTGGCCAGGGCTTCGCGCACCTTGCGACAGGGCTTGGGCGACTGGTCAAAGGAGGCCTTGAACTGTTTGCGCTGCTGCGAGGTGAGGATGGTGCGGGGACGCTTCGGACCCCTCCTTCCGTCCCGCGGCCTCAGTAGATCCTCCTCGTCCAGGCCCACAAATCCACAATGCTGGGCAGCGGCGGCGGCCAGGAACATCTCCTTCTCCAGATCGTGGCGATAGCAGAAGAGCTGGCCGTCCCTTAGAAGGAACTGCTCGCCCTTTTGCAGCGGTAGACGGCAGGCGTAGCACACGAAACAGGGCAGGTGAAAGACGAAGTTCGGGATCGGTCGCATCACCAGCTCCTGCGGCAGGATCGCGTGGCAGCAGGAGGCGCACTTGACCCCGAACAGTCGGTCGTAGTCCATCTTGCAGTAGAGCTTCGAGTTGCGCACGTAGCAGGTGTGGTGGAGCTGCATGCCGCAGTAGCAGCAGGCCAGGCATTGCTCGTGCCAGTTGGCCTCGCCCACGTTCATCAGGAAGCGGTCGTGGATCTTCTGGCCGCAGCCCTCGCACAGCTCAAAGTTCTTCTCACACTTGATGTGGCCCACTTCTGGGGAGCAAAGAAGGAAAGGGGAAAAAGTGGCGTTAGTAAGTCACAGAATCAAATTTGGGAAGCTCGCTCACTGAGGAAAAATAATGATCTGCCTCTTAGCCCTAAAATAAACATAAACAATGTTGACAGTCTTCAACCTTGTCACAGACAAAACATAATAAATTATAAAAAAAAAATTATTGCCACATGATTTCCGATAACAGAATATAATGAAAACAAGGACGAATACAATTCTATAACTATTTATTTGTTGTGTTAAGATAAAACTAGTTCAAAAAGTGTAAAACCATATTATATGTAAATATGAAAATTTATAAACAGCTTTGAACTTTAAATGAAGTCGAGTCTGAGAAGGAAACTAAATTTTAATACACAATAATATAAGCAATAATAAAAAACTCTTTAAAATTCAAAATATACCTAAAAACAACGTCAACCATCGGTAGTAAAAAATATTTAAGAAAATGTAGTTCTTTTAGTCTTCATTCAATAACCTCTGATTTTAACAAAAAAAAAAGCACTGTAAAAATATTAGCTCTACATTTTTGGAGACACGCTCCGAATAAATAATTTGTTTTTCCAAGTGCAGCGTTCGCTATTCGTTATTCCCCTATCCTTCATTGATGGGCGGACGTGGCGTATACGTGTTGGCAGCACACGTCGCTGCGAAATTATCATGACATGTGCTGCCAATGGCGCAAGGACCGCGCTGACAATCGAATCGTGTGAAAACGCTTCGACGTCTCTCTTGTTTTTCCGTTCGCTGTTTCGCACTTCACGGGGAAAAAGTGAAAGAAAGAAACTCTTGAAGGAAAAAAATTATCTGTCGCCGTGCTGCGACAGCTTGTATTGAAAGCTTGTTGATGCGTAATTGAAACGTAAAGTTTTCTTTATTTGTTTGCTATCATCGAGCAGCATCGCCTCGATTATCTGTATGTGTATTCCACTGACAATGGCTCAATTGATTGGGCACACCCTACCAAATTTAATCCGATATTTAACTCCCTTAAAAACTGGTACTCTTCTATTAAAAAGGCTCTGTATTTTAGCTCCCCATTCCGGCAAGTAAAACGCCCCTAATCCTCCATCCGTAGACGCGCTCTTGAAACTGTAAACCAGTCATAAAAAGTAGTACCCGAAAACACAACAAAAGCTGCCTGCAGTAATCATAAAAAATATATGACGACCGCCACGAAAAATGTATGGAAGCATTTGAAAAATGAGCAGCGAGTTGGGGAAAAAGTGGAAAGCTGGGGGAAAAGCGAGGAAAAGGGAGGAAAGCCGAGGACTGGGAGTGTTATATTATATGGCTGTGGCTCAGTGGCAGAAAAATGTGCATGATTTATGGTTGGCACAATGGCGTCCCCACACACAGTCGCCATATCTATGCAGATGTGCGTGTGTGGGTTATATATAGTGTAGTCGACGGAATAGGGACGAAAATCGCTCTACAGCGCTTTATCCGCTAAGCCAGTGCAGCGGCAAGTTGACAATGTCCTCGGGGGTTCTATTTTTTTTTTCAGTCCTATCCCATTGTGCAGTATCCAATCGCATCGCCGACAAAGGTTTTCAAGCTCAAAACAAAAAATCGACAATGATTCATTTGATAAAGCCCAGAGGGGCCAGCGTTTTGAATTTTTTTCCAGAGCTTTGAGCATCGATATCGTGACTGGATTTCGTTTGTGTAATCTAATCGAAATTTATGGCATTTCGCTGCAGTTTTATGAATGCTTTTATTCCTACTATTTTTTTTTTTTTATTTTTTTGTTTTGTTTCAGTTATCAAAGGACGCTTCATTGAGTGTGTATGTGTGCTTTTGGGCTTTTCTAGGCTGGGTTGGCTTTCCATTCAAGCCTTGGCGAAAGTTGTCCAAAAATCAACAAACAACAAGCGCAAACAGTTGAAACAAGTGCGGCACACTCATGTCGAATACATAGATTAAACAGCAGATAAATCCAAAATCAACTCGACGATAAACAGACAAAAAAATATAACCAGCTAATAGACGACAGCGTCGAAAGTGTCCTCGTCGTTATCGGCGATAAAATGGGGCTTATCTGCCGACCGCCCCTCGATTGTCGCACTATATGGTGCATTTATTGACACATTGACAGGCAGGCGGAGGTGTATGGAGATAAATTGGGCGACAGCTCCGAACTTCTGGCACTAATTCGGGCGCTAACTGGAGTCCAGTCCACGTGCCACGCAGATTTTGGCAGCAGTTCCCCATTGACAGACAGCTCATAATGGGACGGCTTTAATTACGGCTGACGACTGACTCTTTTAAACTCATTGCTTCTATCTACACGCAACCAAAAATGTTAAATACAACATCTTAGCTAAATTGGTTTACTTATTGAACAATGCATTTAGACCATTAAGGCTTGAATTTTAAGTTAAAGGGGTTTTAAAAAGCATAATATGATTTGGGAAAGCATGGAAAAGTTGGCTTAAAAATGTTTGGGGTTTCGAAAAGCTTAAATTGTTTTCGAAAAGGGTAGAAGAGTTATGTGACACGACTCAAAAACTTGTATGTTTAAGCAATTTTTGTTTATTAAGATTCTAATAATTCAAAGTTCATTTTTCAGAGTGTAACAAAATAAACATAATCATGATATTTTTCAAAATAGTTAATTAATTGTATTACACATTTGGCTTTACAAAATATTAAATGCTATGGTCTAAGAACAGTAGCACCTTGGAATAAAATATCTTATTCGAAGGGCGAATTTTCTTTAAACCAAATATGTCTTGTGCACTTAAAGTTGCAAAACCAATCGATTTTTTACATTTTTTTTCTTGATTTAAGAAAAAGTTTTTAGCCCAGTGCATCTGGATCTCAACGTGAAAGTGACATAGAGCTATGCGTATGGCATACTTCCGCCACACAAATGCACACCTATTCTACTGGAGAATATCCGTGCAGATGGGAGAAGTTGGAGCCACCGCAGAAGCCAGATATGTATGCTGATACGCTCGGTGGAATACCTGACACTGAGTGTGCTCATTTCCGTGGTCTGCCCTCCGATCCCCGCCCCTATAAACCTCGCCCATTCGGAATTCCTCGACCTCGCCAAAGTGTGGGGCATTGATAGTAGTTTAGCAGTCTACACGCAAGTGTTTGCGCAGGATAGTGGAGTTTGGTGTGGGATGCGGTCGGAAACGGAAACTATTTGCTGCCATTTTGGCAATGGCAAATGGCAGAATGCAAGCGTTAATAGAAATTTCATAGGCAAATCTAAAGTTTACCGGAAAAGGAGCAGTTGTGGACTGAGTAGTGAGTAGTGGCTGATGAGAGCCCCTAAAAAACCAAAAACACAATCCACTTAGCCTCGGACGAGGTCTGGTCTGCATATGCATCACACACATTGTTCGCACACTTTGCATTTCGGAGGGAAATTCGCAAAAGTTTTCCCAGCAACACTTTCGTTGCAGCTCGGCTGAAAAGTGTTGCCTATTTTGAGGCTGTCGTACGAGCTGATATGTGTGTGTGTGTCTGCATGCCAATGCACAAGTGTGTGTGTGGGAGTGGAAGTGGGAGGATGTGGATGTGGCATGCCTTAATAGCCTTTTATTGGTCGAGCCACGCCCTCTGGCAGGTTCATTGTCAAAATTATTTTGTGGTCAACTTGCGTTCATACTTCTGGAAATACTTTCGCCCCACGTCCCGCACATTTTGAACCACCAAACTATCCCCAACATGTGTGTGCGACACCACAAATTCATAATTCATTATCCGCCTCTGTCAAATCACTTTTAAGTCTGAATAAAATAATTACCTGTTTCTATTTGCCTGACTTCTAAAAGCCCGATACAAATGGAAACCAACGCCAGATTAAATTGAAAATCTACCTCTGGCAATTTATTAGGCAAAAAATTGACTCTGACTCTTTGAGCGCGCATAAACATGAGTTTTAATTAAGTCCTCAATTAAACAAAGCTGAATGTAAATATTGATAATTGAAATATAAACATACATACAAGTAAATTCATCGGTAATTTAAATAATTTAAGAGAATAAATCTGAGAGACCTTCAGTTGATTTGTTTTTATTTTTTACATGCATTGGTTGTAGTAAATTAACTCCAATTAAAAACGGAAAACAAAATCATAATAAAATTTTAAAGTCCTTTTAAAATGTTAAAATTTAGTTGCAAGAAAATGAGACCATTTTCAATGCAAAATGAATACAAATTTAGGTTCTAAAAAATTTCAAAGCTCAATAAAGAAATATGAAATAAGCAATAAAATATTCAAGCAAACAACTTTGAAATAAATACCCGCAACGTTAAAGTTGATTACCAAACAAAAATCAAGAAAATATATGTATTTCCACCTGAAGGCGAATTTCTCCGACCCGGCCCAAAAAGCCAAGAAAATCGCACGCAAACTGCCGGCATAGTCAGGTGTGGGCGGTCGTACACAATCTGGAGCCCCGTCCGTCCAATCCGGCCAATCCGTCCGATCCGGCCGACTTGGACTCACGGAGCTCCGACCAGCAGGCCGGGCACACCCAAGTATGCCAAAAACGAAAAGCGTGAAAACCCCAGAAACGGAACGAGCCGGTAAATGCCTCGACTGCCGGTGAAAAATACTTTTGGAACATACCTGTGCGTCCACTACAATCGGCAGACAATTTGGAAGCCGCTGCTGCCGAGGCCGTTGCAGCAGCTCCTCCGTTTCCATTTCCATTTCCGTTTCCTGTTGCCGCGGGGGACGATGTTGCTGTCGTCGCAGCGGCAGCAGCAGCAGCAGCAATCGCAGCAGCAACTGCTCCGCCTAATTGCGAGGTGGCTACTGAGTTGGCTATTGCCGATGGAGCAGCAGCAGCAGCAACAGCAGCAGCTGTTAATGTGTTGCAGGCGGAGTTGAGGTTGCTGTTGCTGTTACTATTGTTGTTGTTGTTGTTGTTGCTGCTGCTGCTGCTGCTGAGGGGGCTGTGTCCTGTGGGCGTGGGGCAGCTGTTAATTGGCACTGGCGTGGTCGAGGCTGCGTGTTGCTGCTGCTGATGTTGCTGGTGGGGGTGTTGCTGTTGCTGGTGTTGCTGCTGCTGCTGCTGTCCCGTTAATGAAGCCGTTCCTGTGGGACTATTGTTGCCGGAAATACTCGTTGGCAGATTGTTGTTGCTGAGGTGCAGGGAAGTGTTGCTGTTGCCGCCGTTGGCCGTCATGCTGCCGGGATTGGGATTGTCCAGGAAGCGTGCCCCGCCATGGTTCTGCTGCAGCGAGTACAAGCTGCCACCGACTGGATTCAGATTCGTGGGCATTGGGTAAAACTCCAGCATCTTATACAAGTTCCCACTACACACACTCTCTCTAATCAGTTTTTTTTCCGGTTTTAGGTCTGCAAAGCCAAATGTCACATGCAACACCACTTAAAAACACGCGAAACACACCCACGAAATCGGGTCTTTGATTATTTTTACTTCGCCTTATATACTGTTTGGTTTACGTTCCAACGGTCGTCTTTCGGTCGTATTTTTCCGTTTCGGGAGCGAGGACAACCAGCCGCGTTCGCTGTCAGTTGGCGTGTGATCGAACAATCAGCGAAATCAAAGCATTTCACTTTGCCCTTCCGAAAAATCCCAGCTGAAATGTACCCCCGCGCAATGCGCCTGCGCCTGTTTACAAAAGCAACGGAGCAACAACTGCCGATGTCCCCGCGGCAACAGCAATTGCCGTTGTTGCACGTGACGCCGGGGGTTGCCCCGGTGCAAGGGTTGCAGCAACCCCCTCTCCGCTCGCACTGCGCATGTCTCAAGTGATTATTAGCAGCGAGGGAAATTCTGCCGGAGAGCAAGTCCCTCGGAAATCGCAGGCCACACCTCAGCTGCGTTCCGATTGGCCGGCGATTTCCCCGGCGTCCATTTTGCGGCATTGCGCATGTGCGCAGGGGAAGTGGGTTCTTTTTTTGTTCATCTTATATTCATGCCTGATGTCTTGGCTTTAATTCTACACCAAGTTGACTTTTGGGCGGCCATAAGGGGGCGTGCTGCTGCTGGTTGTTGCTGCTGTTGCCGCTGGTGTTGCTGCTGCTGCTGGGGCACAAAGACATACTTGCACTTGCACTCGCGGCAACTTTGGCGTGTTCGCCGCTCGACGGCGACAATTTCCTCGAGTTGTTGCTGCTGCTGTTGGCTCTTTGAGTGGCACGACTGGACCAGAATGCCAACAACAACACCCGCAACAACACCAACACAAACAACAGCTCCAGCAGCATCAGCAGAGGCAGAAAAAAACAATGGCCTTGTCTTCTTTTGCGCTTTTTTGCAATTACATTTTACTTTTTGTGGGTGCAAAAAGTTGGCGATAAACAAGCTTGGCAAGAGGGTGCTCCAAAAAAGAAAACCTGCTCAAGTAATTGAATATGGTACATTTAAAGATTTAAAGATTAAAGACTCTATAGAGTCTATAATTAGTTAATGCAAAACAGCATTGAACTTTCATCTTTTGTGCTTATGTGGTATTATTTATTAAGTATTTCTTTTGACCAATTATTTCTTTTGAAACCAATATATTTTTCACTTAAAGGCTTACTTATGTGGCCTTTTTAAAAACATTTTTCTCGAAAATTTTAATATTTAAAAAAACACATTTTTAATTGTAAAAAGCTAACAGTTGAAACTGCTAGATTAATTTTATGAATCACATTAAAACTTAACACCTTTATGGGAAATAAAATAACGTAACGTATAAACGTATTTCTAAGCCATATCTAAAATTTATATTTTTATCTAATAGTTAAGATATTTATTTAGGTAGTACAGACTTATTATTATCATTTTTATTATTTATGTAGTTATTTTTCGTTTATGGATAAGCGACTTTGATATTTATCTTTTTATAAATCCTAATATGATTTTTCTTAAAAAGACAATAATTTGAGTTTACTTATAAAATTATTTGTAGAGTTTCTTTAATGAAAGCAAATAATTTTAAGTGTTCGAATTTTTATACTTTTTATGGACTTATTTCCCGGTTTTTAGGAGATAGTCTTAATGTCACCCTGTACGAGCATTAAAAACCAACCGACAACTGACTGGCAACCGGGGTGAAACCCCATTTCCGCCGCCCCCAAAAAGGCCAAAGCCAACTATCCGCCCACGCAAATACACACACACACACAATCCCTCGCACTCACACACAAAGAAAGGAAGAAAGTCGAGCGGCAAGGAGAAAGCGGAAGCTGGAAAGACAAACCAAACATGGTGCTGTGCATAAAAGTTTGACGTTACTTCTGGAGTCGAAGCTGGATTTCTTTTTGCCCCCGTCCTCCCCCTGGTAACTCTACATTTCGGCCCCCGGCTTAAGACTAGGCTTTGGCTCAGCGGGCTACTAGGCGTGCGACTTCTGGACCAAAGAGTCGCCCATCCTTGGCCGCCAAGTTGGATATGTTTTCGCTGGCTTAGGATACCTGCGAAGAAGCCCGGGTGCCGGTTGCCAGTTGGCCAAGTGGGAGAATTTCAGCTAACTTGTTGGCATCGAGCGGCACTTGTTCAAGGAATTGGCATGGCTTCGTCTTTTCCCCCTTGTTTTTCTGCTGCTTCGTTTCACTTCACCACTCCGGATTGTTGTTGCTGCCAGTTTGTGCAACTTTGAAAACTTTATTTACCGATTTCGACTGGCACAAAGGCCACCGAAACAGCAGCAATGTGCGCACTTGCTGTGGAATTATATCAAAGCAGCGAAAAAGTATCTCCTGCACGAATTTTCCTCAATCTGCACCGACCTAAAGGGAATTCACAAAACAAAGTCGACGCCAAGTGTGCCTAGAATTTAAAGCAATTATTAGAAGCTTACAAAGGCAATTTTCGAGATCCGAATCCCCAAATCGGTGGCTAAAATGGAACAAACTGTGTATAATGTTGGGACTTGAAGCTAGATTTTGCGATAGTTTTAAAAACTCTTAAAAAACTGTATAATCGATTTTTAGCTCGCATTATATGGGATGATATATATTTCAAAAATTCTAAAGCAATTTACAAGATTTAAATTTTAGAAAACATTAACATTGACTTAGTAAATAAAATAAATATTCTTGCTCTTTTGTTTTTGCTGTTTACATGTTACTTTATAGTTAAGTAAATAATTAATGCAATTTGTTGTAGTAGATTACTCAGAAGCAGGAAGTAATAGTTTGGTTAATAATATCCTATGAATAAGTCAAATGCCAAAGAGCGAAACCCTAGCCAGCGATATCCAAATAAAACATTTACGGCTATTTCACGGCAATCGCTTCGCTTTTCCGTCCAAAGTCCACTGGCTTTATGACGCCAATCGACTACAATTCGGAGGCGTGTGCATAATTAATCCTTTGCCGTAAAACCCATTGGACGGGGGATCAAGGAGATAACGTTAATGGAGAGGGTCAACCCGCCGCTAGTATCCTGGCCACTTCTGTGGCGAAATTATGGTTTACAGGCCCCCATAAAGATAGATGGTAGATAGGTGTACTGAGTAGTTGGCTCATGTTTATTTTAGGGAATATCTACAAGATAGCAACAGTAGAACGCAGCAAAGCGAAAATTCAATTAACCTTGACAACTGGCAAGCGAAAACCCAAAACCCATCCACTAATCGGCATAATGATGACAACATCATGCTCTCGATAAGTTCGAAGCCGACAGACAAAACCGAGAGCGGTAATAAAATCAAATCGACAATGGCAAAAAGTGGAAATTGTCATAAAACTCGTTGGCGAACAGGAACCAGAAGGGCAAAATAATGTTAGGGGCACTGGAAACAAATTTAATAAAACATCGAAAACGAAAAAAAAGAAAACAAATGGCAAAGGGTAGTGATAGGGGTTTTGGGTTGGGTTGGGTTGGCATTCAGATTCTGATTCGGGTTTGGGTTCAATGCATCCATTGTGTATGTCCTGCCCCTCACCCCCTCTCCATTTCCCCCTTATCAATGGACAACGACTGAGTAATATTGAATAACCACAACAACAGCAACAACAGCACGCTCGGCAGCCTCAGGATAAATAGTTTTTCTATGGCCCTTCAATTACCATTTGAGCATGATAAGCGCTAAAGAGGCACGAAGGGCGGCCAACACACAGACATTGGCATTGGAAAGTGGTAAGCGGTAAGTGGTAAGTGGCTGTAAGAAAGAAACCCAGTCGAAGGAACCGCACAAGACTCCTTGAAAATCAGCCTCAGGACCTACAGCAGGAATAGGGATACGGGTCGTTGAATGGAAACATTTACTCTAACTGAACAGCTCAACTCGCCTATATCATTGGCGGCCAGTCAAGGAGAAATTGCCCAGATGGAGCGGGTGGTGTCATTGTTTGTTTTGGCAATAGTCGGGAGTAGGGACACTATATATACTCGTAGGCACCCAGCCACAAGAAGGACGCCGCTGCAGCTGCTCAACAGACACTGGGAGAACTCCGTAAACTGTCAACACTACACGCGCCTCCTACACCGGAAAAAAATATCACAAGCTATTTTTATATCTACTAGTTTGACTCATTATAACACTCTTTTAAGCATGCATTTAGATTTTTTACAATATTATTATAACAGGTATAAGGGTAAATATAAAAAAAAAAATTTTGTTTAAACAAAACATAATAAAACACACTTTTCTTTGATTAAAAATATAGTATATATATAAAATAATGCGAGGTTTTTTATTTGGAAAATGAAAATAAATCATAAAACTATTATTATCAAACAAGTATTACAAAAATTTATAAGTAAAGAATTAAAAATTTAAATTAATATTTGCTTTTCAAGAACATTTATTTTACTGCTTGTTACTAAGTATTGTTTTTAGTGTGTACCTTCTCCGTTTCTCTCCCCACCAAGCACGATGTGTGTAAACAATGGGTATGAGATATGCTGCACTGCACCCGCTCCGAGGAATGAGTTTGAGTCCAGCGAGCAGAGAATAGAGGGCACGCAGCAGGATCGACCCTGAAGTGGGCTAATTTGACGGTGCCCCGCGTAGCAAACGCAACCCCAACAATGGGTTGTCTAGTGTCCAGGCCGAAGGAAAAGTGTTAAAGGATTTATGCGCGTAATTTTGCAGATGTTTAGATTTCGCTCTCGACTCGCTGCAGCTCAGATACACTAAGGGAAATGAGTACATCATTTACGGGTTATTATTTAAATTTAATAGGGAGTAAATAAAATGTTGCCAGCGTAAATATTTGTCATTTTTTATTTTAACTGAGTATTGTATGCAAACAATTTTAAAAGTGTTTTCTCTTATCTATGAATTTTGTATAAGCCATTAAGACATTCCTAACTAAAAAAACAAATTGCAAGAGTTATAACTGTAACTGCATTTGATACAGACTTTCTCTTCATAAAGTTAAGCAAATTTAACGCAGCTAAAATTATTTTTTATTGATGATTTTCATTTTCATTGTTGTCTGCTTGCTCTGAACTTTTTTCCAGTGAAACTCAGTCCAATAATTTTGTGCCTTGTGTGCCGATCTGTGTCAACAGCCTCTGCCTCCCATTTTAACCCCAATCCATTCGCAGGCAGGCTCTGACAGACATG